TCCGTTGCTCATCACAATTGTAGCGTGACATCACGGACCTTACGTGACCGGGGCTTCCTCCTGTGTATTGAGAAAATTATTTGTCCACCCCGGCTTCCTTCTGAATTTCAAGATGTCTTTCCTGATGTTTTGTCATCTTAGCAGTTGCTATGATCATCGTGAAGGGACCTTGAGTTTGATTTTGTCTTTATCTTTTGACGATGAGTATCATAGTTTGTGTTGACCTAATTTTTGATTCTGTCTATATGTATTGCTAACACTGCACAACGTCAAACACGCTGGAGTCGGATTTTCTTCCTTGAAAAGATATGTTGTTGTTTTGGTTTTTAGTTTGGAATCACTTTTTCTTGTACATACCAAACGCTAGCCTGTATCTCCACATAATGCACCCATAGATTAAATTTGTGGATATGACATCGTTTTAACAGTCATATGAGCGAATGGAATAATTGAGATGAAAATTACTAGAGTTTGTTTTTGTGAAAATGTATACTGTTTATAAAATACTGAGCGATCTGATTGGTGGATTGGATTGCCACGTGATAAAGTAAGGAATGTGTTGGTATTGTGGTTTAGTGTTGCGTCGGTTGACAATGTTAAGTGGTATCATGTCACCACGGAGCCTCCGGCATGTCCCACATTTATTTCAATTTACTAGATTTATTTCTATGCATTAGCGGTCTCCTTTTAAAATTCAATTAACGAGCAAAATGCGTACGTTGTTCTGTCCTGACTTCGGATTTCAGTTTCATGTTGCACTTCAGCTGTTGGTTTTTGTATTACAGCGCCCCCTGCAGGTTGTACTACTACGCGATCGCAAGGGGAGACTACCGTGATCATACAGTCGGTCTGCCAACGGGACATAATAGATTAAATTAAATCTGCTGCGGTCATTGACTTGCTATCTCTTTCCTCTACCTGTTATTACTTGTGTTCTGTGTCTTTCCTGATACAGGATATCTCCGGTAGTCGATCGTCCTGAAATGGCCTTAGCTGTTGATAGGACGTTACGTCCTATACAACCAGTCCCGGTAGTCCAAGGGAGATTCCTTCGTTTCCAGCTAGAAGTGCCTGCATAGTGACATAGTGGATAGTATAGGAAGATTTTGTATAACACTAGATAGATTGCATGACCACACTGGTGCTGACTAGACCAATATGGGGTTGGTTTTAACGTTTCATCTCTCGCCTGAGAATTATACCGAATATTCCTAGTCTGTTTCTGGTGAATAGAAAACTAATATCCGTTTGGTGATGGTGCTTTCCTATATTGTTCGGTATTCCTCGTCAGAAAGTCTTTGTATTCCTACACTGTGTCCTTTAGAGAGTACTTGACGGGTACCCTAGGCACGCGCACTGTAATAGACCAGTGACATGAACAGCTGATCACGCAATCAATGTTTCCGGAAGTTCATCAATCCTAAAACGTGAAAAATACGGAATACGGATGTTCAAAGGGAAACGAAACGAAATAAATAAGATACATTGAGGTTGGTTTACATGACTTTAATACATCAGTGTCGTGGAGCAACTCGTAAAGGACACGTGTAGGCATCACATTGGGCTATCTGTCTGAAACTTTTCCTTGACAGCCAGAAAAAGACAGTCTTTATTCTTAGTTGATGGCAATAAACACGCAAAGCGTTTCTTTTCCCCATACACCACTCGTCGACCACAATGTGGCTTCAATATATAACCAGTCAAAATCTTGGTCGGGCAGTCATTGTTGGCTATTTACTTAAAAGTTATAAAAACCAGGCTATCAATATTGTTCAAAAATTGCCAGATTCCCGTAAAAGATAACCAGAAGCCATGCCAATATACCAAGCGCATATATTGATTGTAGTATTTATGCTGCAGCGGGCGGATCGAGAACTCCCCGGCCGTGAATTATTGTTAGAAACTCTAACCGTGGTTTATTGCCATTTGATGGTGATTGGCAGAATGTTTCTTGTTTTAGATTGATAGAAGACGTTCCAATTAAATCATATTAATACAGCTATGTGATCAAACGTCAGACGTGTGAGCCAACTCGTACCAATGTTTACAATTCCAATATACAAGGAGAACTAACTTGTTCTCTCTGGGCATTCATAGGCATTATATTTACGTTCTTGATGTTTGTTCTGTATATGAATCTACCAACTGAAAACAACTGCCATAAGACTATAAATGCCAAATGAAAAGCCAAAATTCCCTGAAGTGCACATCGTGCTGACTGCACTTCAGTGTACTTACTAGAAAAGTATTAAGATATTCCATAAATGAAACAATGGATGTTCATGACGTCTAGAGCGTCTGAAAGCATTCCAGTAGGCTGCTTGGTTCGTGTTGGTATCATTGGGCGGTAGGGGTTGTTTGTATTGGATTTCTAAGCCAAGTACATTTGTGTAAACTCTGTTTTCAATTCTCAGTTATAGTATCACTGATCACCATAACATGAACATTTTACTTCTATATATTTGTGAGAAAAAAGAAAAAGATGCAGAGTTCTGTGGACGTCACAGCATTCTTGTTAAAATACATAAATTGTATTACTAAATAATGAAAAAGCAACAACGAATTTTTTTATTTTTTTTTAAATACAACATTTTCGTCTTCTCTCAGCAATTTAAACTTTCACGTGGTGCACAATATTTGCATTTCTTACACGGAATTAAATATAAACTTTATTTATTTCACGAGGTGACCCCATACCATTCCGAGACCAATCGTGGAATCGAACCTCTGCCATGTTGGTGATAAGCAAGTGCGCTGAGTAGTAGAAGTACCCTAACTTCAGTCTCTACAGTTTTATATCTTTTCAGCCATGAATTTTCAGCAAAAGTTGTTATGCTCCTTTAACACACATTGGTTCTGATGACAAACTTAATAAAGCCCGGCAGTACTAACAATAACGTCATAATAGAGATTGACGGTGCTACATCAACAAATGTTATAGTCTCACGACAACATTCCCCTTCTCAATACATTACAATGGAATAATGCAGAGCAAATGTAAATTTAGTAGTATCAGAGAGGACGTCCTAGTAAAGAACCTGTAGATCAAAGACATCACCCGTCTGCATAGTAAAGAAAAACCCAAACCAGTGTACCGACATGTGTACTCGCGCTGCGTACACACGTGTAGCAAACGTGTAAAGGCCGTGTCAGTGAAAAATAGAAACCAACACAAAAACGATAACTTTCCTGAACTCTTGACCTTTTCGATAATGAATTGATCGGGGGATTCCTGAACTAGCACAAGATAACACAAATCACGTGATCATAATTGTCGTGTTGTATAAATCATATTTAGTGTTCGGTCTAACTTGCCAAAATCTCCGGAGAATGTTTGCTTCCGAAATTACAATCATCATCGGATTCCTACCGGAGTTCACTACGTACCGTGTACGAGTACAAAGGGCAAGCGAATTAAAACGAATATTTTCAAACTTTATCTCAAAGAATACATACAGGGCCATTTCTGAGACTAATGTTTGGAGTTCGTACTCTCGGGCAGGTCGTAAACTAGAGAAGCTGGACATACGGGGCATAATAATGGCCGCCATACATCATATTTCTGGCGGGAAATCGATGTTTTGGGGCGTCTATGGACGACTATCTGTCTGCAGATTCATCACCATAACCGCAAACTGTATCCCCCGAGCCCCGCAAACTGTATCCCCCGAGCCCCGCAAACTGTACGAGGAATAAATCTATTAAACCATATTATCACACAAAATGAAGTTCAGTTCGAATTTTTTTCAAATGATAGGTACTGAAAATACAAAAAATCTCAAAACTCTTGGTGTAAATTAAGTGATGTGTATTATCCGAAGTCATAAGTTTGTAACTTAATAAATGGGCTTATAGGAACCTCTCCCCTTACCCTTTATTTCTAAATATACTTTGGAACATTTTATATATGGATTTTAATTCTTTCGAACTTAAGTACCGCTGTTGAGACCTAAATGGACGAAATAGCCCTAGGGTGCTGTGAATGTTTTCCTGTGTATATATGTATATTAATTAAGTCTGCCACCTTGTCATATTGTAAATATATGCTTGTTATTTGCTGGGAAAGGGCTTTATATAAGTTAAATGAACCTGTGCCCAATCTATTTGAATGACAATATAACGTTATGGTATGTTACTTCCCCGTCCGCTAACCTTTAACAGGTCGAACCAGTCGTGTACCGTCTTCTGACTTTTAACATGTCGAACCGGTCGTGCTAGAATCCTTATGAATTATGGGTGTTATAGTGTCAAAGTCATATTAGACTCCGTATAACTAAGGAACTGGTAAAGTGTTAACTAATTATCATATCAGCCGCCTGAATTCCATTGTTTATATATACATCGAATATATATACATGTATAAATGTTGGTAACTTTGGCAGAGTTGAAAGATGATGTTTACTTTGGCTGGTATTACCGAGTAATTGAGTTAGGGGAGGGAGGAGGGGCGGGGTTTTGTAAAAAGAGAAAAACAAGTTGTGTTCGGAACCTAGTCGGATTAACGACAGGCTATAATAATCATCATACAAACCTCAAGGTATTTTCATTTTCAATGATATCTCAAAAGACACATTTTTAATATTTGCATTATCGAACCCCGTAACATTGGCAAAGTTAAAAGAAATCTTTGCCACTATGGGTGGTTTCGGTTCGAAGATCGGACATGAAAATGTATCGGGTTACCTACCGGAGCCGGGGTTTTCTCCGGGTATTCCGGTTTACTCCCAATTTAAGATCCTTGCGCGCTTCTATCCGAGCCAAGAAGAAAGATTGATATAAAGTCCATTTCATAATTGTTGTAAAATAAACGAAAGTTTATGTTTTATAAGAGCAGTGAATTTTAAGGAGGTGATATAGTTTAAACAAAGTCTCCATGAATTATAAGTTTGCAGACTTAGCTTTCGACAATTATAGCAGTACCACGATACTACCTCTGTTTACATATATCGTTTTCTTGAGTTACTTGCTCTTTAATTCACATGATTCAATACTAATTTTAATCAGTACAGTAAGTTTGCCTTCTCTGTGTCGGCCTGTGGACGACACTGTACATGTGCCTTCTCTTTGTCGGCCTGTAGACGACACTGTAAGTGTGCCTTCTCTCTGTCGGCTTGCAGACGACACTGTACGGTTGCCTTCTCTGTGTCGGCCTGTAGACGACTCTGTACGTGTGCCTTCCCTTTGTCGGCCTGTAGACGACACTCTAATTGTGCCTTCTCTTTGTCGGCCTGTAGACGACGCTGTACGCGTGCCTTCTCTGTGTCGGCCTGTAGACGACCCTGTACGGGTGCCTTCTCTTTGTCGGCCTGTAGACGACACTGGAAGGGTGCCTTCTCTTTGTCGGCCTCTAGACGACACTGTACGTGTGCCTTCTCTTTGTCGGTCTCTAGACGACACTGCAAGTGCGCCTTCTCTTTGTCGGCTTGGAGACGACACTGTAAGTGTGCCTTCTCTTTGACGGCCTGTAGACGACACTCCACGTGTGCCTTCCCTTTGTCGGCCTGTAGACGACACTCTAATTGTGCCTTCTCTTTGTCGGCCTGTAGACGACGCTGTACGCGTGCCTTCTCTGTGTCGGCCTGTAGACGACGCTGTACGTGTGCCTTCTCTGTGTCGGCCTGTAGACGACTCTGTACGTGTGCCTTCCCTTTGTCGGCCTGTAGACGACACTCTAATTGTGCCTTCTCTTTGTCGGCCTGTAGACGACGCTGTACGTGTGCCGTCTCTTTGTCGGCCTGTAGACGACACTGTACTTGTGCCTTCTCTTTGTCGGCCTGTAGACGACACTCTACGTGTGCCTTCTCTTTGTCGGCCTGTAGATGACACTGTACGTGTGCCTTCTCTTTGTCGGTCTCTAGACGACACTGCAAGTGCGCCTTCTCTTTGTCGGCTTGGAGACGACACTGTAAGTGTGCCTTCTCTTTGTCGGTCTCTAGACGACACTGCAAGTGCGCCGTCTCTTTGTCGGCTTGTAGACGACACTGTACGGGTGCCTTCTCTTTGTCGGCTTGTAGACGACACTGTACGGGTGCCTTCTCTGTGTCGGCCTGTAGACGACTCTGTACGTGTGCCTTCCCTTTGTCGGCCTGTAGACGACACTGTAAGAGTGCCTTCTCTTTGTCGGCCTGTAGACGACGCTGTACGTGTGCCGTCTCTTTGTCGGCCTGTAGACGACACTGTACGTGTGCCTGCACTTTGTCGGCCTGTAGACTACACTGTAATTGTGCCTTCTCTTTGTCGGCCTGTAGACGACGCTGTACGTGTGCCTTCTCTTTGTCGGCCTGTAGACGACACTGTAAGTGTGCCTTCTCTTTGTCGGTCTCTAGACGACACTGCAAGTGCGCCTTCTCTTTGTCGGCTTGTAGACGACACTGTAAGTGTGCCTTCTCTTTGTCGGCTTGTAGACGACACTGTAAGTGTGCCTTCTCTTTGTCGGCCTGTAGACGACACTGTATGTGTGCCTTCTCTTTGTCGGCCTGTAGACGACACTGTATGTGTGCCTTCTCTTTGTCGGCCTGTAGACGACACTGCAAGTGTGCCTTCTCTGTGTCGGCCTGTAGACGAAACTGTACGTGTGCCTTCTCTTTGTCGGCCTGTAGGCGACACTGTACGTGTGCCTTCTCTTTGTCGGTCTCTAGACGACACTGCAAGTGCGCCTTCTCTTTGTCGGCCTGTAGACGACACTGTACGTGTGCCTTCTCTTTGTCGGTCTCTAGACGACACTGCAAGTGTGCCTTTTCTGTGTCGGCCTGTAGACGACACTGTAAGTGTGCCTTCTCTGTGTCGGCCTGTAGACGACACTGCACGTGTGCCTTCTCTGTGTCGGCCTGTAGACGAGCGTCTGTCCCGGTGGTTTATCCGACACATTGTGTGTGAGTATTTTATAGAGAAAGTCTGTCTCGTGTCTAAAGGTTCACAGCGATTTCTACAGCCGTATGGTCTGTCTGACACCTCCATAGATTGCTCTACCTTTAAAATACCCAGGCTGTCTGGTCCGGTTTATGGTATGATAGGTCGGTTATCTCCCCTGATTATTAGACAGTACTTGCTGCAGCGGCGTACAACAATAACAGATGAGAACTGGATGGTATGTCACCTTTACGGAGTTAAATTTAACAAGAGTTAACTCCCATATTTAAAATGATGTCGACCGCCTGACACACTTTATGGTTTAGCACCTAAACGACTATTCAGTCAGAGTTACCTTTCCCTTCCGGGCATTTTCCACCTGGGCAGGGACAATTGATTCTGACGCTAGGGATGTTTAGATGCTATTGTTAACCGTGATTTTATGTCCATTACGCACAAAGGGAAGTCGAGATAATTATTGAAAATTGTGTTAAATCGTTTCCCGTGTGTGTGTAATGGGGTCGTCCTTTGATATTGTCTTCGTTCGAGGTCACGTGACTGGGGCAATTACAATGACCGCCCGCTTTTCTTCACAAATGTCGTAAAATTGTTATTGAAATAATTTTACGAGCCTTGCAACATGTGGCTGGTCGCCCTAACGTCTATGGCGAGGAGCACGGTAGATGTAGCATATATTCGAGGGCCGTGCTGCAGCCTATCAAGCCACAGGTTTAAATACGACAAAATGTCGCTTTATACTCGGAAATGTGTTTTTTATGGTTGAACAAGAAACTAGTGATACTGAATGAATTCATTTAAACCAAATAAAAAAAATTGTCAGAAGATTTACCGTAAAGGACAATAATAGTCATCGCTATTGTGTTCCGGCTACTGTGAACACAGTTAACATGTACAGATTATATAGTACACACTTCTAATGATGATAAACCGGAGCGAACAAGTCCTCGTGTAATCAGCCCCGTTAAAAGGTTACTTATGCTGGGAATAACGGCGCCAATCTGTAATAGGAATTAAATAGTACGTGCGCTGAGGGTCGAACCGGTAACCCTAGACGTTCTAGTTGAATGTTCTACAATTTTGCTTTAAAGTTCCTCATATGTGCAACAGGAGCAGAAAATGTAAGGCTACATGCAGATCAGGGTTCGAACCCAGGAACCTCCGAACTCCAGGCGGACGCTCAACCAATGGAGCGACCTGGTCGCCAACGATCGACCCAGTCCAGTTCCTCTACATAACACAAAAATCACGTGTTGAGATGCATTTAGCAGATATACAGTGGTTTGAAAATCGAATGCTTGAAAACAGAATTTAAAAAAAAAAAAAAAAAAAAAACAACAGTGGTCAAACTCGGGACTTTTACATTGCAAAGCCGAAACTTAACCAATGCTGTTCTCTGGGAGTTGTGACTGTGCAGCATGAAAATAAGTGTCCAGTGTAGGGCTTGCAAAGTCTATGAAAAGAACTGGCGAAATTACTATAAACCAAAGAAACTCCCTTTGGTTGCGCCCCCTTTTATGCAGAAGGGAGAAGAACTCTTCTTCGCGACTTAAATTGACGTAGTGGTACCAGTCACCTTAACTTTGGTCCAAAGATACAACGCTGCTTTGTAGCTAATGCTGAACTGGGCGTGTTGGGTCTTCACTAGAAATTTCCGCTCCTTCCAATGAAAAGAAGCATGTTAATACCAAGAACTTCAGAGCCCTGAGTCTATTTTTTAAAATATCTATATTTCTGAAATTGTACAGAAGTTTTACACATTAATCCACAGGGACCATATGTCAGTTTAAACGCTGTAATAAAGTGGAGCATTTAATAAATAAAAATATATATAGCTGGTCTGCATGTAGTGTCGACCTTAACGTGTAACATCTGTATTAAAAACGACGACATTCATGGATTTCTACCGAGGCTTCCCTAATGTATAATTCATTTTCTAATCATCCGGCATGTCATTGCTGTGGGGGAGATTAAAACAAAACCGGCCCCGGAATTATATATCTGACTTATAACCGACCACGTACGTATAATTAAAACATTAATTTATTCATGCACTGTCAGTATGTGGCGTCCGTTAAAAAGTTGTGATGGCGATATTTATGGCAGACGTTTATGGAAGGTCCACACAATTATAATATTCTACTCTGTGTGATATTGCAATATGTATGATGGAGTTGAAACGTCTAGAGGTCTCACTGCAGCTATCCCATGGCGGGGTACAGGGGTAGCACGAGGGACATCAACTATAGAGGTCTGACTACAGCTATCCCATGGCGGGGGACAGGTGTAGCATGAGGGACATCAACTATAGAGGCCTCACTACAGCTATCCCATGGCGGGGTACAGGTGCAGCATGGGGGACATCAACTATAGAGGTCTCACTACAGCTATCCTATGGCGGGGTACAGGTGTAGCATGAGGGACATCATCTATAGAGGTCTCACTACAGCTATCCCATGGCGGGTTACAGGTGTAGCATGAGGGACATCAACTATAGAGGTCTCACTACAGCTACCCCATGGCGGGGTACAGGTGTAGCACGAGGGACAGCAACTATAGAGCTCTCACTGCAGCTATCCCATGGCGGGGTACAGGTGTAGCATGAGGGACATCATCTATAGAGGTCTCACTACAGCTATCCCATGGCGGGTTACAGGTGTAGCACGAGGGACATCAAATATAGAGGTCTGACTACAGCTATCCCATGGCGGGGGACAGGTGTAGCACGACGGACATCAACTATAGAGTTCTCACTGCAGCTATCCCATGGCGGGGTTCAGGTGTAGCACGACGGACATCAACTATAGAGGTCTCACTGCAGCTATCCCATGGCGGGGTACAGTTGTAGCACGAGGGACATCACCTATAGAGGTCTCACTGCAGCTATCCCATGGCGGGGTACAGTTGTAGCACGAGGGACATCACCTATAGAGGTCTCACTGCAGCTATCCCATGGCGGGGTACAGTTGTAGCACGAGGGACATCACCTATAGAGGTCTCACTGCAGCTATCCCATGGCGGGGTACAGGGGTAGCACGAGGGACAGCAACTATAGAGCTCTCACTGCAGCTATCCCATGGCGGGGTACAGGGGTAGCACGAGGGACATCAACTATAGAGGTCTCACTGCAGCTTTCCCATGGCGGGGTACAGGTGCAGCACGAGGGACATCAACTATAGAGGTCTCACTGCAGCTTTCCCATGGCGGGGTACAGGTGTAGCACGACGGACATCAACTATAGAGGTCTCACTACAGCTATCCCATGGCGGGGAACAGTTGTAGCACGAGGGTCATCAACTATAGAGGTCTCACTACAGCTATCCCATTGCGGGGTACAGATGTAGCACGAGGGACATCAACTATAGGGGTCTCACTACAGCTATCCCATGGCGGGGTACAGGTGTAGCATGAAAGTATTGGACGAGGGTCATCAACTATACGGTTAATTTTGTATCACATTATGAAGGCTGATATAATGAACAATGAGAGGTCAGCGTTAGTTCCCTGACTTCTATAGGGGTCTCACTACAGCTATCCCATGGCGGGGTACGGGTGAAGCACGAGGGACATCAACTATAGAGATATCACTACAGCTATCCCATGGGGGGGTACAGGTGTAGCACGAGGGGCATCAACTATAGAGGTCTCACTACAGCTATCCCATGGCGGTGTACAGGTGTAGCACGAGGGACATCAACTATAGGGGTCTCACTACAGCTATCCCATTGCGGGGTACAGGTGTAGCACGAGGGACATCAACTATAGGGGTCTCACTACAGCTATCCCATTGCGGGGTACAGGTGTAGCACGAGGGTCATCAACTATAGAGGTCTCACTACAGCTATCCCAAGGCGGGGAACAGTTGTAGCACGAGGGTCATCATCTATAGAGGTCTCACTACAGCTATCCCATGGCCGAGGGACATCAACTATAGAGGTATCACTACAGCTATCCCATGGCGGGGTACGGGTGAAGCACGAGGGACATCAACTATAGAGATATCACTACAGCTATCCCATGGGGGGGTACAGGTGTAGCACGAGGGGCATCAACTATAGAGGTCTCACTACAGCTATCCCATGGCGGTGTACAGGTGTAGCATGAGGGACATCAACTATAGAGGGCTCACTACAGCTATCCCATTGCGGGGTACAGATGTAGCACGAGGGACATCAACTATAGAGGTCTGACTACAGCTATCCCATGGCGGGGTACAGGTGTAGCTCGAGGGACATCAACTATAGAGGTCTCACTACAGCTATCCCAAGGCGGGGAACAGTTGTAGCACGAGGGTCATCAACTATAGAGGTCTCCCTACAGCTATCCCATGGCGGGGAACAGTTGTAGCACGAGGGTCATCAACTATAGAGGTCTCCCTACAGCTATCCCATGGCGGGGAACAGTTGTAGCACGAGGGTCATCAACTATAGAGGTCTCCCTACAGCTATCCCATGGCGGGGAACAGTTGTAGCACGAGGGACATCAACTATAGAGGTCTCACTACAGCTACCCCATGGCGGGGTACAGGTGTAGCACGAGGGTCATCAACTATAGAGGTCTCACTACTCAACTATAGAGGTCTGACTACAGCTATCCCATGGCGGGGTACAGGTGTAGCACGATGGTCATCAACTATAGTGGTCTCACTACAGCTATCCCATGGCGGGGTACGGGTGAAGCACGAGGGACATCAACTATAGAGATATCACTACAGCTATCCCATGGTGGGGTACAGGTGTAGCACGAGGGACACCAACTATAGAGATATCACTACAGCTATCCCATGGCGGGGTACAGGTGTAGCATGAAAGTATTGGACGAGGGTCATCAACTATATGGTTAATTTTGTATCACATTATGAAGGCTGATATAATGAACAATGAGAGGTCAGCGTTAGTTCCCTGACTTCTATAGGGGTCTCACTACAGCTATCCCATGGCGGGGTACAGATGTAGCACGAGGGTCATCAACTATAGAGGTCTCACTACTCAACTATAGAGGTCTGACTACAGCTATCCCATGGCGGGGTACAGGTGTAGCATGAGGGACATCAACTATAGAGATCTCACTACAGCTATCCCATGGCGGGGTACAGGTGTAGCATGAAAGTATTGGACGAGGGTCATCAACTATATGGTTAATTTTGTATCACATTATGAAGGCTGATATAATGAACAATGAGAGGTCAGCGTTAGTTCCCTGACTTATACCGCATGTTTATTTGAGGATTAACTGTCAGATTCCGTCCGGGTTATCGGGAGATAACTTTCATTGAAATCTGATAAATCAAATTATCGGTTGTTCATAAGTCCGATTATATCACAGTGTACCCGAGTTCATTGTAGTTATCCCCGATAATCTTCGCAAATAAGAGATAGCTCTTTTCTGTAAACCTTTTTTACTTCGTTTTTACCTGTTTCCTGTTTGTCCACTTCAGGGTTTAAAGAAAAAACGTATTTTAACATCTATGTTTGAACCTATAATGTCAACGTCTCTGAAACCATAGCAACATAAGAAACAACCGATTTCAGTTTTGCACATTTTTTTATAGCATTAACATTATTAGCAAACTCTATGTTTGTTTCTCGGTAAAGTTCTTCTAAGTAAACATGTCACGATTTAAAAATCATATGTGGTTTGAAAGACAATTGCAAAAATAGAAAATAACTAAATAGATGAAAAAAACGAAAAAGTGTTTTGCATTTGTATATCTACCTTCACCGTACCTCACAAAGTGACCGGATGTGGTGTAGCCATTCAAACCAAATTGTCAATCAAACTGTTACGTAATAAAAACAAACTGTTATGAGGAAGATATTATACGGCACCTTTACGAGTTAGATTAGAGGCTGGT